ATAGGGCTTATCTTATTTATAATATAGGCCACACACGTGTGTTTCAAACTAAATATAAGCATTTTCATCATGGTTTTATTTATTACAAACATATCCTTTCACCATCAATACACATTGAGGCCCTTCTTTTAGGTAAAACGATCTATCTTAAATGTTCTTTCTATTTGAGTTGGGACTATTATGTGTTCAATTTTCTCACCTTAAAAAATGCGCGCGAAGCGGGCAATTTTTTTTCTTTTTTGAGTTTAAGGCTTATGTTACCGGTATATATGGCCACACACGTTTTTTTGAAAACTAAATACAGTATAAGCATTTTCATTATGGCTTTATTTATTACAAACATATCTTTCACCATCCTTACACATTGAGGCCCTTCCTTTAGGTAAAACGATTTATCTTAAATTTTCTTTCTTAAGTTTGGGACTATTATGTGTTTAAATAACTTAGAAGGCTAACCTTTAAAAAAAACATAAAAAAATTGTGTTTTTAATTCTAATTTCGTCGGAATTGATCAAAACTCCCTAAAATGTGTCATTTTTAGAGGAAATTGGCGGCCTACTTTGACAAGAAATGATTTTTAGGCACTTTCAGGGGGTGAAAATGGCATCTTCAAGGGGTGGGAAAAGATTTTCCACAGATGGATATTTTCCCCTTGTCCCCCGGTGCTTACGCCACTGCGGAGAATATCTGGTGGCAAAGAAGCTATGGACACCTTTTGAAATGGAGAAGGGGTTGCAGGGTGTTGTGAGTCTGGTCATTATGATATCTTCCTTACTTATTCTTTATTTTTCTCTTCTCTTTTTCTTTTCTTTTTTCCTTTTCTTTTCTTTTCCCCTTCTTTCTCTTTCCCTCCCTCTCCCCTCTTTCTTTTCTCTTATTACCCAGCCCGGTACGACGGCTTGGTCAGCCCGGTGAAAACCGTCAGGGGTGAGGGGTGGGGCAGTCTGCCCCCCTGCACACCCCCCCCCCCCCCCGCCTGTGACGCCACTGCATGCATGCATGTTTGATACATACGTATGTTCCTTGACAATTAAAGCGAATTTAAATCATAATCATTGCAAACCTCTGTCCACTACTACACTGTAGCTTCATGTAATTCCCTTTGTCGTCACAAGACGGCGGCAACCCGATATCACCGACGTTAAATACCATAGCGGATGCTAGGTTATGACGAAATTCACTCTCTTCCTGTAAACATCTGATTTAGATTTGGAATAATATTAATATTATTATTAAAAATAGCAAATATTTCAATACTAGTAGAGTTGAATTTACTAATAGCAATAATAAATAATAAATGTAAATTATAAAATAAATGATAGGCATATATTGTATCATTATAACAATTTGGTTAAATTACATTCTCAACGCCTTACCTTTTCTTAAGTGATGTGCTTGGGGTCACTGTAAAAAAAATATAATATGTTAAATCACATATTTTAATGACTAATATGGTACAATGTATTTTTTTTTTAGATTACATTAACTACTTGTATTTATAATATTATAACAGACAAGATTATCAAATCAAATCAAATACTTTTGTTTAACTTTTTTTTGTATATACAATACCCGGGATACAATACAATTGTAACAAAAATATATAGAATGTAAAAGTAAATAAATATTCTACAATAACAGCACTAAGTGTTCAAGTGTCTCATCCAGTTCACATACATTTTTTACTCATACATGCAAGACAGATTTAAAAGAGTTACGATGCTATTTCTCATTCTAATCATGAAAATAGCAAGTTTTCCTATACCCTTCATAGAAAGATGGAACTTTGAATTTCTTGTTACATACATCTGACCAAAACTACAGTGCCTTGAAAACTCCAATTTTCTGAAAGCATTATTGCAACACACCTGCAACTCCCTGATATTAACCTGAGTAAACTTAGCCCATAGGCTACAGCAATACATAGTTTTACAATAGGATTTAAACAGATTACACTTAACCTTGTATAATTAACCACTGTTGTAAATAAATCAACCACTGTTGTAACAATTTCATTAACGACTATTGTTAACAGCGATATAACCACTGTTGTAACAAAATTCATTAACTACTAGTGTAACAATGATTTAACCACTAATGTAACAACGTACAATATAGAAGTCTTTAAGCTAAAAACTTACATTGTCTTATGAAAACCAAATTTCACATTATTCATGATTCTGGCATTTTTTTATATATATAATTTATAATTTTTGATATAGAAGTTAAAAATTAGATTTTAAAAATAGTAAACAGCTCAATATAGCCCAAATGTTTATGTAT